TTAAAACGTTATATTTATTTAATAGAGAACATATGGCAAAAGTTATTTATAATTGCATCCATGCTATTGAATGTCATCACTTATCAGTAACTTCGGCTCACGTCCTAATTGAATAAATTAAAAAATTACATTCAGTGGCAAGTTGCAAAACATTCACTAGTAATAAAACAGCAATATTTAAAACAATTTTTGCAATAAGTTGACAAGGTTACGTAAAATCAATTGACTAGATTTCACTTTTAATCAGGTGTTTTTTTGTTTTGTTTTTCCTCGTCTTTAGTTACAACATATATACAACACGCTACATAATATATTTTATTATCTTAGTTATTTATGAGCTTTTTTTTTTAATCTTGAGAACAAATTACAAGTGGTCTGTTGTTAAGCCGATCTTAATCACTCAAACAATCAAACTTAGTTCCTGCATAAAAAGGAGGTTTATAACTAAGGATAATATGTATAAAAGAGGAGGTTGGAAAAAAATCGACTATACAGGGTAGCAAACAATAGAGTACCAATAGGCATAAATCCGTTTATTGAACCGGCGGTAGATTCAATGTAAATCAATAAGTCAACAACTGTTATTTTTACCCACTTGCAAATATGCTGTAGCTCGGCCTTCGCCTGACAAAATGCTTAGCAATTCTCTAAGTTAATTCGCATCGACCTTTTTACGCAAACCTCGGATATGGATGAGAATGACAAATGCAGATTTCCAACAAATGTCAGTTGTTTATTTTTTTATATTTTTTATTTTTTTATTATTATTATTTTTTTAATTGGGGTTTGTTGGATTCAATTGCTGGAAAAAACTTGGCAGTGATTCTATCGGAAAAACTTGATTTATAATTACTAAATCCTAATCACTCGCAGGAAAGATTAGATTAATTAAATTCATTAGATTTCGTGGTCCGATTGACTAAATAACATCTTTCAATTAATTAATCTTTATGGTATTGGTTGAGATAAAAAAGTCAGTATCACGAGCGGGATTCGAACCCACGACCTTCGGCTAAATACGCCGCTGCTCTACCACTTGAGCATCGTGATTCACGAGCAGCGTCGTATTTAGCCGAAGGTCGTGGGTTCGAATCCCGCTCGTTACACTAACTTTTTTATCTCAATCAATACTTTCATAAAGATTAATTAATTGAAAGATTAGATTAATTTTAAATAAGCCAAGGTCCCTCTGGCCGGTATAAACTGGCACTAAAGCGATCCATAAACTGTGTATTATAAATACAACGTACAACAATATAAATACGTTTCGATAAAATATTTACGAGGGTCAAAAGTACGTCGCTATGCAAAATTAACGGCCCTGCAACACATAACTGAGTGGCAAAAAAAGTGGCCACCCTTAATATTTTTAAATATCTATTATACCATATTATTGTATAAAAGATATTTATATAGGTAAATAAAACAGAGATAAAATTTCCCTCTTGTGTGTAAAATCGAATTTTGTAAATAAATCTTTGAATAGTCAATCTCTTCGTTGGTTTTTCTGAAAGCTTCTTTCTACGTTCCGGTGGTTTAATTTTCTTAAATCGTACAATTTTTAACTTTCAAATTTGTTTGAGTGATGGTTTTAAGTCTTAACATGTAGGCTAACATCATAGCATTGTTTGGAAGATGGAAGAAGTCAAACATATGCGGACAAGGTGCTTAAGATTCACATAACAACTGTCCGAAGAATCTTCCATCGCTACCAGTGGAGGTTACTCAATAAGGCATGGATCAGGTCGCCATTGTGTCACAACCAGAGTCAGTCATCTCCATAGTCGACATACATTCTACCGCTGCTGAGATCAAACAACGACTTCAACAATTTAGAAATGTTAATGTCAATTTACGTACTTTAAGGGAAAACCTTCAGAAGCTGGATTACGCGCGAAAAGGCCTGCCACTGGTCCAGAATCTGACAAGGCATAGAACTTTTTTTTAACAACTGCGCCATTATTGATTTATCATTATCCGTGGCCTTGCAACCCAATAAATTTTACACGGAAACCATTGCTAGGGCGACACTGCTGCTCATTCGTGAACCAGGGGGCACATGTACTAACTGTACGGACGCGAACAGCATTACCCTCCAGCTCGGTTAAGTTTCGCAAGAAATGTCATCAGTTGGTCTGAGCAAGATTGAACTTGGAGATCTTGTTTTCGGATGAATCAAGATTTTGTTTGAGGTCTTCCGACGGCCGAGAGAGGGTTTGGTGGAGAACAGGAGAACGATACGTCCCTACAACATTTTAACTCCGGAGAACTTATGGAGATGGTGGTGTTATGGTTTGGGCAGGCATTTCGATGGAGGTCGAACAAACCTGACTTGCATCGAGGGTTTCCTAACTTCTGCATGAGACATTGAAGATGTGATATCAGAAGTTGTTCCTTGGCGACGGTTTTATTTTTATGCAAGGCGTCACACAGTTAGAATCGTTGGTGACTACTAAGAACGGGCTTCGATTCAAAGTTTGGAGTGGCCAGCATGTAGTCTCGACTTAAACCTTATCGAACTCCTTTGGGACGAGATGTCAAAGAGTGTAAAAAGTAGCGCAGAGATGCCAGAGAGTTAGGGAAATTGGAAAAATTAAGAATTGCGCTGTTAGAGGAGTATGAAAATATTCCACAGCACTACATTCAACATCTCATAAAATCGATGCCACGTCGGATGCAAGCGGTGATCAACGCAAAGGTAGGCATACTCCGTACTGAATTGAATATTTTCTTCAGTGTTTCCATAGCATCATTTTTGATCAAATTGTTTTACTCAGTTTATTTTTTAGTTTAATTATTTATCTAGCTATAGCTTATACAATACAACACACAATACTTTATTAGAATTGATACAAACAGAAAAAATAGAAATACTGATATAAAGTATAATAAGCATGGCTAATAGCCGTCTGCTGAGTTTACTGCTTAAAAGCTTACAAATACAGGAATATTAAAAGAAAAACAAAAAAGTCGAAGAGAAAATTAACATATAGCAGGTGTATGAATCATAATAGATGGAAGTATGAGAAAAAAGAAGGAATCAAAAAGAATTAAATAAGAACAAATTACCTATTGAGAACTGATAGAGTATTAAAAAACAAAGCAGTAAAAGTAAAAGTATATGTACAGGGACGACAATTATTGCATATCTGAAAGCCACTCGTATCTCCAGGCGTGCCGAGCAAAGGAAATTAGCGGTAAAGGGGATACTTGGGAGCTATAGCTTATATTTTTCTTTAAAATTTCAGTTAACAACAAAAAATAAAAATTATAACGTTTGCAACTAACTAAAAAAGATGGTGGCCACTTGCTTTGCCCCTTAGTGCATAATTCACATATCGTACAATGGACAGTCGAGATATTTTATTATTATTACTACAGTAAAAACTGCAAAAAGAAGCCGATTTAAAGCATTCTCAATCAATGCAAGATTAGTTTTTGGCAACTTGACAGGTCGTTCGCTCACTTCATTCTATTTTATGAGCAACACTTTTATTTTATTTTTATTGCTTAACCCTTGGCCAGTTCCTGAATGAGCCACAAAATAGATATCACTACTTTTACAGGCTGATTGTTTTGGAAGGGGGTCTGGAACTTTTATCTTTTCTTTTGAGTTCTCTCAGGACAAAAAGAACAAATTTGGCCGCAGTGTGGATATTATTGCATTGACATGCTAATTTTTTTGGAGGGGGGTCTGGAACTTTGTCCTTTTTCTCAAGGTTAGGTTTTTGTTGGGATATCACACTTTTCGGTTTTTAGTTCGCTTCAGCGTCGTGGACGTCGTCTTGGTTTTTTGAGGCATAGGAGCGATTATGCATGGCGTAGATTTTCTCTTGTAAGAAGAAAAATTGCAATTTTCATTTTCTTACCTTTTCTTACAATAGATATTCATATTTGCACCAAATACCGCAATTCTACTTATAATTTTGAGAAAATTACAATTTTCAGTTTTTACTTTTTTTTACAATAAAAGCCCTATGTTTGTACCAAATTTCCCTATATTGGAAGTGCATTACTTTTGTAAAAGACTTAATATGAGGTGTTCAAATTTTTCCAATGTCCTAAGCGACCTAGTTGCAATTTATGTGTCAAATTTCAAAAGCCCACATTAAGAGAAAGCACGGATACGAGAGTGAGAAAAACTGGGTGAAATGGTTCGAGTAAAGATCATGTGGTAGCTTGCTGGACAGCGCACTACCTAGCGCTCACTTTTGTTTTTCTTTTTTTGTGCAATCTTCTGTGTTAAATTGAACAAGTTCCCTGCCAGCAACCACTCAATAAAGATGTCTTGTAGCTCTGACCATTATTTCATGTTTAATGACTCAAAATCCTTCTGACGACTGTGTTTTAAATATTAAAGGGGCATTATAGTCAACGCCCTACAAAAATCGTTATAACGGCTGTTTATCGGCCACTGTTGCTCTTTACAAATTCCAGGTCGACTGATTTCTATACAGATCATAAGAGACATCTCGACAATTATTCTGTTTACACGTTTCGATTTTGGCCTGGAACGTTTACGCCATCTTCTTTGGAAAGATCTAAATATTGACCATATTTTTGGCGTAAAATTGAACCGCCTCGGAACAAAAACGACATCAGACAGACCCCATACTGTTCTGTTTGTTTACGATTTTAATCTTTAATGTATCTATTTGGCTATTTGGATTCTCAAAAAGTAATAAGTTATAATGTTTTTTCCCCATAGTAGCTGTCATAAAATATAATTGTTTCATCACTAGCACATTTTATTGATTTTTAAAATTTTGCCATTTTTTTAATTTTTAGATGGATTTTGTCATTTTTAATTTTAACTTTACTGTTGTTTTTTTAAATATCTATATTTGTTGAAACAGTTTTTTCGCAGAGGTTCGAGCCAATCGAATTTGCTCTACTTTCAAGAGTGGGAATTCAGAAGTCGGAAACAGCGAAGTACGAATAAGTCGTCATTTTAATATTAAAAAATTAAGCGAATAATTACAGAAAAAAGGGCGACTTACAGGAATTCGTCCAATTCTTCATCTGCCCCGTTCGACATTTTGCGGCTCATGGACTCTGGGAAGGGTAGCGTTCGAGAACGGGTTGGCGACGGGTTAAACAAAACGGGTGTCAAAATTAGGGAAGTTAGCTTGCCTTTCGGCTATCCTCGAAATTCAATAAAGTAAAGGAGGGTGTTCTACGAGGGACAGGGTGGTTTCAGATGGGTCGAACGTGGAGGGGCGACATGGGCATGCGCCACCCTTGGCAAAACCTAAAAACATGAAACGCAACATGGTAAAATATGCATTCTTAGCCTTTTTATTAAACGTCAATTATTTAATTGACTGATAAATTCCCCATTAAAATTTGAGCCGACGACCCACTTTTGAGCAGTTAATTATGAAATTAACAAGGCAAGTCAGTTTGGCGCGAAATATATTCAACGATCAAATAATTTTTCAACGAACGCACAATACAGTCTGCTGCTCCAGAATGTATAATGAATGAAACAACATGAGATTTCTTTTTGCAATCGTATATTCCTATCATGTAGATACGTCAAACCTCGCTGCTTTTGTTATCCGAGTCACCATTCTTCCATATTCAATGCCTGGTCTTTCACATATTTCCATAATCGGAGGGTAGTTACCAGTAGTATTAGAAACATCCGAAATGCATCATAATAATATGCAAAATATTCTGTCTCTTCAGGACCCAGCCCGCCAGATTGATGCACCCTCTCCCTGGACATCGCTCGCAAGTGTACTGTGGTTTGAATAAATTAGTAAGCGTCCCAAGCATACGACAGGTGCAATTACTACTCATTACATCCCACTACGTGCATTACGACCGGAGAAGTTTAACGGCCATACTTACATAACGTTTCCCTTTACCCCTGCGACCTCTCTCTAAACGGGGAGCCATTGTTAAGCAACGGGGACCGAGCAAAAGATGATCCACAACTGTTGATCCAATGAGGAACAGTAGTCAAGGCAGGAGCATGGCCTAGCGCGATCAGATCCTGGTGTAACCCGACGGGAGAAACTTGTGCTGTGAAGTGGCTTTCTGGTTTTGCTGGGGAAGGTAGGGGACGTAAGGTCAAGATCCAAGGAGCCCAATACAACTAGGGAGGTGAACTGGGCTTTGTAGTGGTGTCCCCGGGCTTAATCCAACAATGTGAAGAAGGGCAATACTTTAAGCGAGTTGCTGAGGGTTTGTGCCTCAAAACCGCCAATTTGCTGCACCGTTTTGGCAACAGGACTTTTCCTGTCCAAGGACGGGGTTTGCATTTGTGTGAGCTTGAAAGTAGCACGCGTTAGCCAACTTCGAAGCTCCGGTGACTATATGGTTGGGGTCAGCATCGAAGAGGGACCTCCTACTCTACGGGGCTAAACGGATAAGTGATTCAAGTATAATAGTGAGCACAAGGAAAGAATTCCACTATCTTCAGTGAAGTCAAGACTATTTTGTAAGGTCATAATGGGTAGAGGGGTAGGGTGTGTATGTTCACACGAACAAGTTACCTTTGTTTGTCGGTGCTTCTCCACCCCCTTATGTGTGTTTTGGTCGTTCGTCCTTTTTCTTTTCAATTAGTATATCGATTTGGATGATACATGTTTGGAAGAGTTGCAGAGGTTGAGGTCACATCAACCCCCGGGGGTTGCGGTGTTTTTGAAAAACTTCAAACCGTTTGTTAGTATTACTCTGTAGTATAATTAATATTATGTGCGTTGGATTTGAATTCAGGGCCGTTGAGATTCGAACCAACGGACCGTAACATGAATGAGTCGCAGCTTCGACGCTGCAACCGTTTCGCCACCGACGCTCCAGTGAATTTGGCTATTTTTTTATTTGATTTTTTATGTTTTTAGTGTACAATGTCTTATATTTGAATATTTCCAAGTATTCAAGTAGGTAAGTTCATTTTTCGACGTTCTTGTTCGTTGTTCAGTAGTTTCATTTTTGCCTGCATTTTTGTGATGGTTTGCTCGTCGTGTAGTTTGATTGTCCGTCATTGTCCTTAACCAAATGTGAAAAGCTTAATAAAAATAAATGTAGTATTACATGACAATTAGATAATGACAGACAGCGAAGAACAGTCTTTCGAAATAGAAATACACAAAGGAACACTACAAGTTCAGATCAGAAAATTATGGGCTGGAAACCTCATACAAGAAATAAACAATCCAAGAAACCTGCAGACTCTAGAAAAAAAAGAGGTCTCAGTTTGCAAAAGAAGAAGAAGCAGCAACTTAGTCAACAGATATCTGAGGGAGCATAATAAAATCTGACCACGGAGGTATTGTCCTACATCAAAATACTTTATTTCTCGCTCTTGACAAGCGTTTGACATACTCCCATTACAATTACCAATCTGTCAAAAATCTCCCTAGAAAATCCACTTGCAAAAACTAGAACATAGTCAATACTCACGGAGCACATAAAAAATCACACGCTACTCAAAATGAACACAAACCATACAATCCTAAATGATTACTTCATCCGACACAAAAATAGAATAAAGTTCTATTCCATAATAAAAGAGCGTGATGAAAAAAAGCGACTTGTCAGTACCGGCTACGCCAGTTAGCGTTGTCCGAATAAAACGCGTTTTTGAAAAACATTTTATTCAAACAAACGTGTAGTGCAAGATTACAGTAAATACAATGCAACTTAAATAACCTATTTTCGGTGTGAATGTAGCTTGATGGATACTACTATATTTACTACAAGTTCCTTTTGATCTCACGAGTCTTACATCCCCTGTATCCCTGATAGTTTCTTATAGATGTTGCTAGTTTTGGCTCTATGGGGGGGGGGGCATTATCCTGCATTAGCAAGAATTTCTCACAGATGTTGGTCGGAAATGGTGTACTTCGATTATGTCTTGTAAGTACCTCTTTGAAGTTGGAGTTCCTCCTCGATCAACAATTAATTCAGTGCGGGCGTCCATGCCACCCCAGAACGTCAAAGGCCCACCGTGGAATGCCACCTAAGGAACCATGCCAACCAACCACCAAGCCTGAGGATATATTAATCGAACCCACCTCATTCTGGAAGCTATCCACATACGTGCTCTATGGGGCCTGGCATTTTACATTACCCACCCATCGTGGAATGCAAACTGATGAACCATACAGCATGGAACGTATCTTTTTCCTGAGTGTCTCCATATGAAATTATGCCCATCTGAAGATTTGAAGTAAACGCTCAACTGTAAAGAGACCTCGTCCTGCATTATCAAGAATCTTTCACCACAATTGGCACTATGTGTTCTCCAATTATAGCTTGCAAGTACCTCTGTGAAGTTAGAGGTCTTCCTCGCACAACAGCCAATTCGGTGCGGGCGTCCAAGGAAATGCCTCTCCAGAATATCAATGACCCACCGCGGAATGCCATCTGAGGAACTATGTCAACCAACCACGTGCCTGAGGATATTTTCATTGAACTCACCTCATTCTGGTAGACATTCACATACATGCTCTATGGAGCTTGGCATTCCACATTATCTACCCAACGTGGAATGGCATCTGATGGCGCTTACCTTTCTCCTGAGCGTCTCCTAGGAAATTACACCCATCTGGAGATATGCAGCAAACACTCAACTGTAAAGAGAACTCGTCCTCAAGATTTCAATATCCAATTCACAAGTTCCTGCCTTGGCCATTTTATGAGCTGTGGTAAGAAGAGGTCCACGAGCCGGGTGCCGGGCCATGAGTGTATCTTCATTGTGCTCTATTCTTACAGACTGGAGGAAATCGAAACATTTCGGACTTGTCTGAGTGCCAGAGTTCTTATCTCATTGCCCGTAATGATGGGGTTTCGTAGAGCCTGATGACGGATGAATCTATCATCGCTCTCATCCGTAGACAGACCTAGGTCGACCCTATCCTATTGTAGTGATTGACACTCAGTCTCCTGGCGACTTCGCTTTCCTTTATGTTATGACCCTTTACACAGTCATACTCTCTCTACTTCATATGCCTGACTGGAGGCAGTGAAAAATGCTTAAGAATAATATCAAATAAAATCAACGAAGGGAAAAGATTAACTGAAATCGATCTTTAGGCGTAGCAGAATGGAAGGACATAATGCTAGTTATTGCGCAAATGGAATTAATCAGTACAAAAGTAAATGAAGGAAGTAAACAAAGCATTTTTTACTTTTTTGACTACGATAATTTCTACCTGTAACTAATATAGAAAGTGTGTTTAAATTAAATAAAATGGTGCGTTAAATTTGTCCATCAGTATAATTAGAAGTCTGAAGAGGGTGGCAGAGGGAGCCACAAAAAATCGATTTATTTAAGGAATTTTATCAAAATGAATGATTGTAGAAGTTTTATTGATTGAATATTTGTATGTAATGAATTTTCACATTTAGTATAGGTTAAAAATTATTTATTTCACTATTCTAAATACATATTTGTGAGTTTGTGCATGAGACTGTGTCGTATTCGAAAAGTGAAGTTTCCCGCGACTGCCGTCGACGCGTCAGCTGATAAACATGCTGTAAACTTTTGTTGTCTAGTTCTCGTGGTTTTTTTGAAGTTTCGCGATTTCCCAGTCGGATCGACTTGCATCTCGGAAACGAGGCTTCTCGGGTCTCAGACTCTCAGCTCGAGGATTTCGCCCAAGGGAAGGAGCATTGGACAGGACGCGAACAGGTGAGGAAAAAGGGAGCCGCCGTCTTCTGACGATTTGCCCGTCGTCCTCCACCCGGGGAAGGCGCCCGGAAATCGAAAGACGACGTTGCCAAGGCGATCCCCCAATCCGCCCCGGCCCCGACAAACTCACATTTTGCTATTATTCCACATTTTCGGCATTTTAGCATCGTTTACCATTCTGTTTTTCCACTCAGCAGACCGAGACTCTTGGTGAGAGATGACCGCGGAAGGCGACACGGAAGTCGAGGTCGGAAACGATTTCAGCAAAAAGCGAAAGTCGCTATTGGAGAAGTACGAAATACCGATCGATCACTTAGATTTCGGTTATATCAAATCGTGTAACAATATTAAGGAAATTGAAAAAATCGTTAAAATATTGAGGTATGTCACACATTAGAACACGCTGTAGAACTATCGAAACACAACGTACTCTTACATTTACTGCTAATAACTTGCCTTACCTTTAACACTAACCCTACAGAGATTTTTTTATAATAAAAACTACAATAATAACACCAGTTCCTTTACCTCTCTAGTTTTCAAGGTCAAAATGAGAACACAAAAAGTTATATAAATAACTAACATTTACTCCTTCAATTTCCATTGTTTTAGTGTCTATTTACTAAACTCTAATGGATTAAGTTATATATTTAAGATTATTTAGAGATCGTGAGATGCAGTCTTGTGGACAGGTTTACAAAAATTTCCTTTATCGTGCCAACATTTCAATCTTTATTGAGATAATCTTTAGGGCCTGGAATTTATAAACGATGTTTAAATTATACAAATACATGTAAAATGTGAAAAAATGAATTTGTACATTGGTAGAAATTTTAGACTCAATCAGAGTGTTTGGTTTCTGTGTGTTGTGTCAACATCTGCAAGTCACACCAGACCACATCTGACGATCTCCAAATATTCATTAATGAGCAATCGCTACACACCACACACTTATATATTTAAATTTAAGCTTTATTACAAGTCACTTTAAATTATCAACTTAACTTTACCTATTTAAAATATTGAATAAAATTTGCATAAAAGCCTTTTTTTCTCTTTCTTTTCGTTTTACCTCTACTGCTCTAAACATATGACCTGTAATTGCATAGTTTGCAATCATTTAAAGATGGCTCCATTCGCTGAATGCTGAATGCCGATTGCTGCCGAACATTTGCCAAGTCTCGAGATGCTTGTCTTGCCATTTGCCAAATAGTGTGCCTATTTAAACACACATGCTGGGTTTGTATAACCAGCCAGTTTTGGGAAACAGCAAATACGTATTTGCCAAATGCTGTGTGAATCCTCAATGTACTACTAATCGCGATGGACACCAGTGAAACTGTTATTACTGCAGCTGCGGTTACTGTTTTGAGCAGTGGCTACAAACTCGGTCACAAATTCCTAGTCCGTTTTGTTGGGCCAATCCATTTCTGACAGAAACGACACTTCACAATAGATAATACAAATAGACTAGTTAGGAATCATTTATTATTGAAAAGTAAATAGCACTGACGATTGATTATTACAGTTCAAATCCTTACAGAACAGTTGATTCCCGAAAGTGTGGGTGGTTTCAGTTCAGCTACTTCATGAATATTTGTGCACTGCAAGCAGTCTAGGAAACTGAGCATGGCAAGCACCGAATATGGTTTGGCGAATAACCAAGCACGAATCCCATATTTCTGGAGCCACCTTAAGAATATAGTTTATAGAGAATGCTACAGTATCAAATAAAATACATTCTTAATTATAAAATAATTTGACTGACATACTCGTAGCCCTCAGGCTGTCAGAGGGGTTGTAGATAGAAGAAAAATTAATAGAAAACAAGCAAAAATAACATTACAAATATATATACAAATTGAGTGAATTAAAAATTTCTCCAAATGATATATTATAATTGTATAAGAGGAATAATTTCATCTTAAAAAGAGAATACCGTAATCAGGTTGTACCTATATTTCCAGGTCTGTTTACAATATTTCCCTAAAGAGTCAATATCTTTTCCATTCGTGTAGTCACAAAATTCTTGAAACATTAATATAATTCTATTAAAAAACAATAAATGATATTCTAGTAGTATAGGGCATAAATTGGGGAATTGATACACGTCCTTGTCTACACCGTTAATACATTACGGTCAGTGATTAAACCATCATCGAGATGATATTTATTTAGACAAATTAGTGTGAGCCAGCTTGGGTCAAATTGTTTTTCTTTATTAATTAACCTACAACACACACATAAGTTATAAGGAAAAGAATAACTTGATTGTGGCCGTCTGACAAAAACCGGGTTAGAAAGCCTTTTTCGTATGCATGAAGAAGTGAATTAGAAGAATGGCCAGTGACGAGGCCAGCGGTGTTTCTATCTCCTAGGAAGATTCGTTGGGAGGGTAAGAGCAGAAAGGTCACTGTCAACTGAGGGAGTTGCAATTAAGTGAAAAATTGAGGTTTTGGTTAGGTCAGTAGCATAAAGAATTCAGGGATCTGAGTGGATGGTATGGTTACTGGCAAAGAAAGGAGCCTTTATGATAGTGTGGAGGGACTGGATTAGGATGAGTTTTCAGTTATCCCTATCCATGTCCACCACATAACCCATACAAAGCAAGGGGAAAATTTTTGGGTTATGAATAGAAAATCTTGAACTTATGTTCAGCAGTCTTTTTGTTGTCTTTTGTGAACTCTTAAAAAATATTTATCATTTTAAATATTTTGTTTTTCGTGTTTCATTAAATTTTAAATGGTACAATAATTTGTTTTAAAATTACTTATGAATCATTTGCCGATGTGCAAAACTAAAAACTGAAAGATGCATTGAGTTCTACATTAAAAGAAAAAAAATTCTTATTTTAAATTTTATATATATTAAAGAGATATAAATATGTTGTACATAGATAGGATATATCGATAGATTCGGAAGCATTTAGAATCATTATTTCAATCAAATAAAGTAATTAAGTTTTTTTTTATGATAATCAAAAAATGTGCATGATCGGCCTGACTAGAAAACTAATAAGCATTCACGCTGAAAAGGCCAAACTAAGGAAATATTTTCAAGATTCCATTCGGTGACAAAATGTATTGATTTTAGATCGAAAGACGAAGGGTACTACCCAGATCTCCAGAAATGCGCTGAAGATAAACTGAGATCGCTTAATAGCAATCACAGACTGTTAAGAACGGATGCTCCAGTTATGACAAAAGAGTTGTTATCGAAAGAAGAATGGAAGTCGATAACGGAAGATCTTGAGGTTCATATCCTTCCAAGTAGAATTTTATGTGTTGAAACATTTTTAGAGTATAATTGAGTTTGTAACATGTTGACATGCTTTAATAACTTTCACTTAGCAGTTTATTTGAATGTGAAATTTCTCATTTTTGTTTTTAATATGCTTGTTATTTTTTAGGATTGGAAAGGTGACGTTTCAAATAAAGAGATGGTATTAAGCAACACTCCCAAATGCAATATCAAAGCATATCCTGAAGTCAGAAAGTCGTCTGTAGGTCTTCCAATAGAGAAAGTAAGACAAATTTTGTACATTACATTGTAAATATCATCTTCAGATTATTGACCAAAACTGTTTTGGCAGAACGAGATGGGCTCAAAAAAAACTGAAAGGATAAAAGGATCAGATTATGCATCTTGGGATAAATTTGATGCAGATACAGAATGCTTGAAGATGGATCTCGAAGAGAAACTGAAAGAAGTTGAGAAAGAAAGAAAAGCACTGGAGGAGAAAAACAAACCCCCAGGTGAAAAAAGTCTAGAAGAACTAGCGCTTGAAGACATCAAAGATTCTGTAGGTCAGTTAACTAGTATAAATAAATTTTAGTAGTTATATTAGTTAATAGTTTTGTTTTACCTGTAATATACAAAATGTTTTTTATCTTTTAGAACATATGACACAGGAGGAACGTGAGATATTAGCTTTGAAGGAGAAAAACATGGGAAATGAGTTTTTTAAGACCAATAACTTAAATGAAGCAATAAAACATTACACAAGGAGTATTTATATGTATCCCACATGCCCTGGTTACAACAATCGTGCAGCCACATGTAAAATAAACAATTGTTTTATTTTTTCCATTTAAATATCCTTTTTTTTAATCTTTGTTTTTAGATTTAAAACAATGCAAATTCTCAAAGGCTTTAGATGACCTCAATAATGCCCTTAAACACAACCCAAAAGATATTAAAGCACTTTACAGAAGGGCAATTGCTCTCCAGCACAAAAACAAATTTGCTGAGGTTTGTGAATAAGTTTACTTATTTTTTTCCTTGTCCTTCCATATTGCTTTGCTATGTGACAAATAACATGTTTCGTGTACTTTTGTATGCCCATCATAATTGTTTGAACAATATTGTCAGGCTCTTGAGGATGTCCGCGAGGTTCTACGTAAACAGCCTAATCATGTTATTGCAAGACATTTAGCAGACCAACTCAGAGAGAACTGTGCTTCTTTGCCAAAAAAACACAAGTAAAGATTAATCTAATACTTTTTTTTATATTCTTTATTTGGTGGTTAAAAACATTTCAGTCTGGGTTGTTTTTGTTGAATTAAACACTAATTTTTCAAACGCCTTTCATTTTATTTGCTGTGCATTATCCCTTGTCCTTCACCAAAATGGTTATTTGAACTGCATAGAACTTTATTAGAAAATAACTATGAACTAGTTCTATTTAGCTCAAATAACCACTTTGAAGTGGCACCTGGGGTGTGGCCTGAAATAGCAAATAAAATTTAGTTCATTTCAAAAATTGACCGATAAATGACCCAATAGACAATTAAAGAAAGAACTACAATGCAAACAACATAACAACTTGTATACATATACAACACGTATCTTTTCACATAATACTGCAGAAGTGATAATTCTTGCGCCAAGTCCAACAAAGAAAAATCTTATCTCTTTGCCTAACACCATCCACCATCTTCATTTATAATCCCCTACAGACAATTGAAATCAAACAAGACGAATACTACTTTACCTCTTTCTCTTCTTCCTAAAACCTTTTTGTAATCACAAGTGAGTCATCTCCCCCTCAAAAGGAATCCTGGATTTGATTTGATTTATGTGTCAAATCCTTCAGTATCTACCAAGAAAAGCCCACATTTTCCTTACTTTACATCTTTAATTCCCACAAAGGAGCATTCTTGAACCTTTACACAATATATATTGCTGACATGCTTCTCCTTCCAGAAACAATTTTCTTTACTTTTGCTGATGATACCGCAAACCTTTCCCCATATAAATATCCAATCACCAAATACACAGAAACCTTCAAAACCATTTGCAATGCTTTGACGTTTGTGGAGAATTAAAATAAATGCAATGAAGAGCCAATACAGTAACTTTACTCTCAGACATATAACTCTACCACTTGTTCACTTTAAGGGGATTTCACTGTTGAACATGTATGTTACTTGAGACTTCACCTAGACAAACGACTTGGAATCCGCATACTAAAATAAAACAAATTAACAAAGGTTAGAAATTGTTATCACTATTACTCTTGTACTTAATTACTAAAGATTAATACCATGATTCAAAACCTATGTGGACTTACGGTATCAAACTCTGGGGGTCAACCTATCATTCCAACTCCCAACGTATCCAAAGATTCCAATTAAAAGTCCTAAGGCAAATTGTTAACCCTCCATAAGGAGTTTCCTCACCTTGTCTACACCGAGACCTTAATATTCCCTTTGTTCCAGAAGTAGCAAAAAGCTATTACAAAAAAATTCCATCAATCTCTTTCCACATGTGCCAATCAATGCCTTGGTTTGTCAGCTCAGTTCCACTGCCATTCAAGAAAATCATCCCCGTTGACTGAAACGCTGATGGCTACATGATAACCTACATAGTAATGAAGAAAATTGTTGATTGCTTATTTCTTCTAAAGGAGGCTCACCATTGGTTGATTTCTGCTCGCATGTTCTTCATTTAAATTTTGTTCTTATTTCGTAAAAATCAATAAAAAGAAGAGAGAAAAATGGTGTTCAGTTCAACAAAAACAACAAGACTAACAACTAATTATTTTAATGTTGTATTTAAAAAAAAAAAAAAAAATAATAACAGAACTGGTTATTCCTTTATAACTAACTTTTTTTCTAGATTGAGAATTCAAGATAAAGATCATCCTGATGACAATCGTGTGAAAGATGTGACAGAAGAAGAAATGCTAAGGGATTATAAAGATGTCAACTTCATTGAAGTCAATGACTGGGGTCTCCCGAAAATAATGTGCAACTGCAACGGTAAGTATATGGATGAGCCAGGCATCAGGCATGAGAAACACGTCAGGTTTCAGCACATCCTCAGCAAGTACCCACAGAATTCAAACGTAACAGAAATTAAAAAACCTCAAGAGAATACAAAAAAAAGAAATGATCAAGAGACCCATACTGCGAAAAAACTTGAGATTGTAGAGTTGGAGAAAATTGAAGAGGAGAAAATAGATGACAGCCAGAAAAAAACAGTAACTGCAGTAGAGCCGAACAAGACCCCTCGTTCGTGTCTCGTCGTGGACAAACGTGTTGTCAATGCTACATCTCTTCAAACAAATGTCCCTCATGATAACGCTACTGGGAATGCACAAAACCACGAACTCAACAGCACAAAGGTTAATACAGATCTTGACAACAAAATGAAACCTGTAAACATTCAAAACAATGAAACATTCATGACAGATGAGTATTCTGAAAAAGCTAGTGACAATGTGAAATTAGAAAGGAAGAATTCCAAAAATGATAAAACTGCTAAAAACATAAATATCCAAGATGCAGATGAAACCAAGATATTCCCAAACACATGCCTGGCTAAACGTAATACAACGACTGATTGTACATGCGGTGATATTGCGAATTTGTCCAGTTTTGAAATACTGGATATTTGGAAATCCAAGGAGTCCATTAAACACCAAGCAAACCTTTTACGTTCAATTTGCCCACTTCATCTTGCTAATGGTATATACTTTTACTTGTCACTTTTGCTGTGTTTATTTTTTGACAATGTTATTCATTATATTTTGTAATTATTGCAGTAATTGGAAGTAAATTGGAAGTGTCAATGGTTTCAAACTTATTCAATTGCCTCTACAACCAATTCGATCATAAAAGTGAGGCAGAAGTTATCAAAAATTATTGTCTCGCCATTACCAAGCTTAACAGGTTCTCTATAATGATGTGTTTTATGAGTGCCGAAGACAAAAAAAGTAAGAAGACTCACATAAGATATTTTATTGTCCAGGAATGCATTAAACATCTTTTGTTTTTTTACAGCCTTAAATGAACTAGAAAAAATCGCAGGTCCTTTTTTGGATGTTAACACAAAAAAACTTATTTCATAAAAGTTGTGTCACTTATTTTTGTTAGATTTAGAATAACTACCTGAATGAAAAATTCACACATTATTTTCTATTTGAAAAATTTTTAAGTTTGATTTAAATTAATATTTTAATTATGAATTAAATATATAAAGAAAGGAAAAAATTAGATTTCGTGGTAGGTCATTATTTTCTTCATAATTTTGTATGTGGAAGGTGGTGACAAGCGAATGTAATATAAAGTAAAGCGAGTGTAAATAAATGTAATATAATAAATGAAGGAGGTAAAATAATTCAAACCTTATATCTCTGGTATAATCTGGTTTTCATGTTTTGAAAATTTTGGAGCAGGATCTCTATTTTCAAAAAATAAAAATTACCTAATACAATAGAAGGGAGGTTTGGTTATTTTTTGACTCAAAAATTTTTTAAATTTATAATCTGATTAGATAATTTTTTAATATTTTTACCGTAAATGCACGTATTTCGTTATTCAATTTGTCTGGAAAGTTTAAACAAATCAAAACAAGTTGGTTGTATTAATGAAAATCACATTACTACAATTCTTTTACATTAGTGCATATACGATTCTTAATCAGTTACAAGTTGTTTTCAAAATCTGGCTATTAAATGAAACTACCGCAAACTGTAACCATTTTTACAGTGGATTAGTATATCAGAAAAAATTAAAACCTAGTCATATCATGCAAATGAGTTACATTTTATCTCAGGTAAATCATGTGAAACATTATCTGTCTGCTAGAATTTATTGAAAGCTCATAATTTTTTTGTGTTCAGATTTTTTTGGTTATTAAATGTTAACACTTAAATAAAATTAAAGTATTGCATTTTTTTTTCAACTTCATTACTGCCCTTTCCTTTTCCTTGTTTTGCCTAATTTTTGTATTTCTAGATTATCAAAACTGAAAATTTCTGTTTTAGATGTCGTTCTATTTATTTTAGGAAAAGTAATTTAATTTTTCCCTATAAAGTAAAGATTTAGTTGCATTTTAACATTTGGGTGGGGTTGAAAATAAGTCAACGATTATAATTCATATTGAATTTGATTTCAAGAACACAGACCTGCAATCTTCTTTATTGTTATCAACTTTACATTTTGCAGTAATAATTGTTTAATCTGAAAGTAAACCAAGAAATATACGTACTTATCTTTAAGATAGTAAGATTTGTATCGAGATTTTTAAACTTGGAAGCTTGTTTACTAATGTTATTTAAGGCAGGCCAAACAGGTTTTACCTATATGATAATTTATTAAACGAGTTAAAATACTAGGAGAGAGCAAATTAAAGTGCTGCTTGTTCGTAGAAAAGGTCTAAGGTCATGCCAAATCGTGAAATGTGGAGGACCTTCCTAAAAAAAATCACTGCTCTAACTTGACACTTAACAAAGTGGTCATAAAATATGGTCACACGGGTAACAAGACAGACTGAACTAAAACTGGGGGAAAAAAACATATTTCCTGTGTGGGTGGGACAGTTCCCAGAAGCATTGGAACATTGACAAATACACGCTGGGGAAGCGAGGAAGTATTAAATTAATACTGGCATCCTTTAGGATGATACGACCAAGGAAATGGCAGACTTACGACTTAGACATTCTTTGTTAACTTCTAGATAGCGAAAGGTAAGGATATTTCTGTCTAAAGGGCAGCTGAGCGCCACCAAACCAAGGTCAGTCAAGTTTAGTAGAACAGATGAAAGATAAAGTAAAACAGAGATAGATAACTCAAAATGCATAGTGTTGGCTAGATTCTAGCACATGAACAGACAAGTGTCGAGTATAGTACAGATGTGTTATTCTGTTATTGGCTTGAGTAATGCATCACATTTCACAGGTGTATAAGGAAAGTTAATAATATTACAGTTTTTGTTACTACTATCATCTACTATAATCTTTTATGAAGACCATTAGTTAGTGGGGCCATAACACAAGTTTTCACTCACTTGCGTTTACTTAAAAAATTATTACAACTAAAATGTACCTAAGAACCTAAGAAATTTTTAAAAGAAAGGAAAATGTTATTACCAAAAAAAATTAACGCACATTGTATTTAAAATAAAAGCTTGTGTTGTTTTTACGTTTATTGACCACCATGCATTTTTTTTTTTTAAATTAAGGAAAACTTAATATCGAAAGGGCCAAATTGGTGATAACTCTTTCCCAAATTACGGAAGGTGTGTGAGAAAAGATAAAATAATAAAGCCATGATCCAAACTGACCGTATTAATTATTTCAATTAATTATTTCAATTAATTATTCTTTTTATTGGTATTGGTTGAGATGAATGAGTTAGTGTCACAAGCAGGATCCGAACCCATGAACTTCGGCTCAATACACCACTGCTCTAACCACTTGAGCTATCATGACCGCAAAGGATCATGATGGAGGTCACGACACTAACTTTTTCATATCAACTAAGACCTTAGATAAAAAAAATAAATAATTTATACGATATATTAAGACTTTAAATAATGAAAATATTTTAAATTATTCTCATACCTAATATATCAACAACAAAATTAGGAAATAAATTAGATAACCCAATACCTAAAACCAAAACAGACTCAAGCAAACAAAATTCATCTCCAAAAAGAATTTAAAGAAAATATTCAATTATATAAATCCTGGCCAGTCCATTCGTAACGGGGGTTTCACTTGCCTCTGTCTTGCAGGAAGCAGAAACCTCAATTGTTTCCCACCTCTAGGATCACCCAGGTCCACGGGAGCAAGCAACAAAAGAATAAGTTAAATCTAACCGTGAGGAATGATAAATTTTTTCTAGTTTTATTACACATTTTTAAGGAATAATTTCTTCCTCAAAATATTTTCTTCTTGGAAAACAATGAAATATTTATTTAAATTGATTTATAATTTTTATGTACTGTGATTGAAATGAAAAATTAGTGTCATGATTGACAATTTGGTGTCCTAAGGGACAGAAGCCACAATAACTCAAGTGGTTAGAGCACCAGGGAGGCCAGAGGTAGTGGGTTCGAGTTCTACTTGTGACATTTTTTTTTATCTCAACCACATTTTGCATATAAGTTTAAAACACTACTTTGGCTTAATAAGACTAACTAAAATAAGTATGAAATATTTATATTGATTTTGTTTCTTTTCGTATATATATTAAATGACAAAATTAAACATAAGCAAGTACAAAGTGTTTGGTTTAACTAATTATACGGTTTATGTCATCTGTTTTCAATCAGTCGCTATCATCTGTAATGTAATGCAATTTTATTTCTGTTTTCCTTACACTTTGTCTTTCTTGGTTAAAAAGTTACTAGATTCGAATGAAAATAAATTTTAACAAATTGCCCATTGCCTTCCAAATCCAAATTATTTAACAAGGCTAACATGCAAATGCTATGTACTGGTTTTGTTTGTGTATGTGGGTGAGTATGACCCCACAAATAACTTAACTATAAGACATACGAGTTAAATGTAACAAAAACTTAGAAAACAGGGTACATTTTTATATTTATTTCTAGTTTCATAAATATTTATATTTTAATAGTAATAATAAAATACATAGTAGAAAGTAACAGTACAATTTTCATATCTATATATAAAGATGACCTGAGTTTGACTAAAACATATAAAAAAATTATTTCACAGATGGTTTAACGTTTAATTATGGTTTATTATGTGATAAATGTACAATTTATCATTGCCATTGAAAATTAAAAAAGTAAAATAAACAATAATATAATTTTTTGTTTTTTAGGCCTTTTTCGTACATTCCTCCGTAAAAACCTTCATGAAAATAACAACAATTAAACAATCCAAAAAAGGGGGAAAAGATAAATACGAAAAAAATAAGAAAATAAAAATGGACGTCATTTTTTTATCATTTTAAATTTTATTTTACTTTATTAATCTATAAATAGTTAAAATGCTTAAATTACGTAATATGTTTATTAAATTTCATCAATTCACCAATTTACCAATTAGTCAGGTACATGTCAAGTAACTGAACCTTGTCGAAAAACGACATGAGGTTTCAAAACGACAGGTTATGTTCTTTTCAAAATTGAAAACACGTGCTAAAGGTTTATGGTTTGGGTATGATTTCATTTATGACGAAAGACGGGGAACGAATTATTTCTAATGGGAAAAGCACGATTAAATGCCGTTCCAGGACGAAATACGACACGAAGGTGGGTATTTTTTCAGTTTGTGATTTCGATTTTATCAATTCGGCGGACAAAACTTTTACATTTCGTTAAGGAGACCGAACGTACTGACTTATTACATGCTGGATCATACTGCTGCATGTTTAACAACTCGCAGTTCATTAACAAAAGCTTCACAGATTTACCTTTATCGATTTCATTGCTACTCATATTGCGACGTCCAGAAAATAATGCAGTTTTATGGTTATACAATAAAGACAATTAAATAAATGAGTTTAAACATTTTTTAGCAATTAAAATACTTTCATCATTCTCAATCCATTTCTCCCAACGTGTTGGTAACTTATTAATTCCGTCTGAGTAGAATTCAGAATTTTTAGAATTGATAAAGTCAATAAATGCATTTTCCAGTTCCGTTTGATTTTTGAATATTATGTGTTGTAAGTAGTGGTCCAGGTGTCTAAAAAAATTGTAGTCAGTAGGCGAAAGGTCTGTAGATTAGGAAGGGTGAGGCAGAACCTCATAATCAAGATCCTAGTTTTCCATGTGGTACTTGGAGCCGAGCGTTGTCATGTATCAGAATCAGATTCCAATTGATGAAAGATGGCTTCAATAATGCCAATTTCCAGTTTATTGCTTCAGTTTGGGAATAGACATTGATTGTTTCGCCAAGATTCAAGGAGCAGTAGTGAATCAGCCCACATCACCTTTTTTTGGTGTATTGGCACCTTTGGAAAATTGGTGCTGCTTCACCTTTGTCAAGCCACTGTCCAGAACATCTGCTGTTATTGTAGAGAATCCACTTTTTATCTCAAGTAATAATTCTATCCGGAAAAGGTTCATTTCTGTTTTGACAAAGAAGTGTTGTGCAAAATTCAAAACGATGATTTTTTGGCGGTCATTTAATGTATGAGTAACCCTACTTTTGAGCTTTTTCACCTTTCCAATTGCCTTTTGAGATGGTCAGTGACGGTCAATTTGCTAATTGAAAGATTCTCTGCAACAAACAGTTGTTGTTCAAACAGATGTGGATGGGATTTTCTTTGACCAAAGCTTGCAGAACATCATCATCTAGCGAAGAAATCCTTCCTTCTTTCTCTTCAAGGCTAGTGTCTCCCTCTTGAAATTTTTCAAACCATCTCTGAACAGTACTCTCACTCACACTGCCATCGCCTCAGACTTCATTAATGTTTTTGGCCATTTGGGTACCATGCTAACCAACTTGTAAAACAAAATGACGCGAAAATCTATTGTTGATATCTTAGCAAATACTGAATTATTCCAAAGTAATGAATTGCTATTGAGGTAAACAAACATTTTTGTTAGGAAGGATTAAAAAGAGTTAACATTCGTACATAAGAATAATCCATCAAACATATGCAGTTTATTATATAGAGGGTTAATTGAAAGAAACATGAAAACCTGCATTTCAGGTGGCCCAGTAATTTTGAAGTCAATTTTTGCCATTTGTGAAAAAGATGGTGGCCTGATTTGGTATTTGGCATAAAGCCATAATTTATTACAGGTCTTGTTTTTATAATTTGTAATAATTGTGCGATAATTAATATTGAATTACATTAATGAATTTTGTTAAATGTACTATTACTGTTTTTAATAGTTACAATTTTAGCTTTCAGATAAAATTTCACCTGAAGCGCTCAAAGCCAGTGAACCTATAAAATTGATTAGAAAGACCACTGCAAAAAGACTGGCCAAGGAGAAGGTTTTAAAAAGGATGGAGTTACATGTTGATCAAGAAATTTCACCCAATAGGGTCCATCCTAAAAAAGTTGGTTTTGTCGGTGTTCAACCTTCGACTGAAAATACTACAAGGCAGAAAAAGGCATTGAGAAACAGGTCAGGAAGGGTGATGAAAAAACATACGCTGGCGAGTGAGAGGAAAAGGTCAGATAAGAAATCGACACGGCTTGTATCTAGTAGAGCAGCCAATTTGGCACAGGTAAAGAAAAAAAAGATGAAAGTTGAAGAAAATAAACAGGCTAAAACCTCTGAGCCCTCAGCAAGTAAAAATCTACCTAAATTTAGGAAAAATATTTCAAGATTAAATCAAGTATGTTACAATCATATTATTTTCATACAGTCAATATTATTTTCTTGTTATAACAATGTATCAAACCTTTTAGAAAAGCTCATCAGTTTCATCTTCAAAAAGCCGAAAAAGCATAAGTTCTAAGAAATTTTTAAGAGAACCTAGAGGAGTTGTGTATTTCTCACATTTGCCTCATGGGTTTTATGAAGAACAATTGAAAAAATATTGCCAGCAATTTGGTGCTGTGACAGGCGTGTATCTTCCAAAGAGTAAGGTAGGTAATACAAATTTCAGCAAACAATTGTAAGAGTTCATACTGTAGTGTGCAGAGTGGATGGGCCTGTAGTCTGGTCATTTCCAATCATTTTAGTCTAACTCTCCTCGCTGGTTTGGTCTGTGGGTTGTGTTCAATAGGGAAACAACATATCACAAGAACTTGTGACTATAAGCAAATTAAAAGGACCAGAAACGATGATCTCACAGTCATACATATAAGTTATATATATTGTATTATTCAATATTAGTTATAGCTTTACTTGTACAGAAAAATGCACTCGGCTTATCAGATGTCGATTAAGCACAATTGCATTTTTCTCCCCCTTAACCCGAGGTGACTTAATGATTGACCGAGGGTAAATAGATTAGATACTGTGTATGCTTTCTCGAATGTATATCGGTAAACCTACGACTTTTTAAATAAACATTTTTTAAAAAGTAAGATCTCAAATAATTATCCATATATTTATAATTGATGGAAGGTGTTGGTCTGCGTGTCGATGAACACATGTACAACTAGCCTTGGGTCCATCTACTTACTCGAGTTTTAGATTTGTGCCATTTTTCACATGCGAGTATAAACTGACCCAGTAGGGGCTCGGATAGGGATAAAAGAGGTGGCCACCTTTCTTGTGGCCAGGTGGCCAGGCTTTCTACACCTCGACCTGAGTAGATCTATTGTACTCTGCTAGTTATAAAACTCACTGGCCAGCTTCAGGTTGTTAATCAACCACCATAGCCTTGCCAGCAGCTCCTTAGTGATAATATTGCTTGCGTCTTTTCCTCTCCTAGTTTCAAGAATCAAACTGTCCCAGTAAGTTACCCAGTCTGGTTAAACAAGAGTTATATTTTAATTTGTTGCCATCCAGAATCATTTATTCTTGTTGGTTTTGACTGGCAGTTGCAGTTCAATATCTCCAACAAAATGATCACTGGAAATGGCAAAATACTAAAATAAATAAGATAGATGCAAGCAGTAAAAGATCAGTCAGAATGATCAGAAATTCAACTACATGTTCATCACTATGTCACAAGCAATTATAAATTATAATGAAATATCTTTATTGTCCAATCTAGATTGGTAACTACCGAGGGTACGGATTCGTGGAATTCAAGCATCCTGAAGTGGCTGAAATTGTAGCAGATACGATGAACAATTACCTCATGTTCAACAGGCTCATAAAAGGTATAATGTAAAACATCAATAATTACTTTTCAATAAATTGATGTTTATTTGCTAGCAAAATACATTCCACCTGACCAGCAAAAGCCCTGGGCTTTTGAAAGGCCATTACAATCGGCAGCCGAGCTGAGGGCAAAGGCACGTGAAGGCGTGCTCAACAGGACGAAAGAACTTACAAAGGAACAATTAGAGCGTTTTCAGAGTAGGTTGGATAACAGAGTGAACTCTTATCGTGAAAAGATTAAGCAGAACAACTGGGGCTATGATATCCAGGTTTTTATTATTAATCATGAAACCTGTACTTAAGAATTGTTTATTTTTATTATTTTATTTTTTTCAGGTTGGATTTGACACTCCTTGAGGCTTTCTTTTATAAATATATAACAAATACAACTTGATAATTTGTTGTCAATACAATTCTTTCTTTTTTAAACTTTGCACTCATTTGACAAGGATGGGAATGACTTTGTAAATGAGTTTGTAGATTTTATAAATCTATAAATAAAATTTTTTTAACTACATGTTCTTTTATAAGTAAAATCATTGTCCCATTCATTCCTTGAAGAAGACATGTACTTTTAAAATTAAGTTAAATATATATAAAGTACATATTTTCATCAAAAATGAATTCAAAACATTTTTTCAAATCACATTTTTTTCTTCTTCACACTTAGATTAGACAATTTAGACAACTTCACAATTTAGATTAGACTATGTAAGGTGATTTAAAATAAATTAGCCATTTTTTCTTTTTACCAACCAGCTTCATTAAATTTTTTAATTTACTTTTTTATTATACTCTTTACTACCCCATACTAGGTAATATGAATTGGGGCTGTTAAACATTTTGGGGTTTCTCCCTCGCAATACTATTTAACCTAATCATAATATTTATATTTTTGTGTAATTAGTAAAAACATAATTATTTAACATTTCACTAGAATCTGTTATTAATGAAAAACTGAATACATTCATAAACACAAATGCATTAATGGTTACAACTGCACAGAGGAAACCTGTTAGCATAGGATAAATTAAATTCAAGGAAAATAAATTTCCATACCCTCCTCTAGCCTCATTTTGATGAGTCCAAGGAGAAGATAAGCCCAAATATTTATTTCTTTTCATATTTCACAAGCAGTTTTTAGTTTGGCGTGGTATCTCTAACGTACGGCAGGGTGGTGGATGGGGAAAGATGCATTAATGACTCAATAAATTAATAAATATTAATGTTTTATTTTCATCTTCAGTTCTGAAACCTTCATCTTTTTATAAATAAATTCACAAAATGATTTTTTTTACAATTTTTTAAGTTTAGTGCTTAACATGTTTAGTGACCAGTAGTTCAATAAGTCCTGAGTAGTAGTCAGGATAGATGTATAGATAGAAATATATCTATCCTGACCGCTCCTCACTAATGTGCATTAGTATTCTCAGGCACTCCAAATACTTCATAACTCATCGTCCCTGTTTGAATCCATGCAGGTATTCATCAACTCCTCCATACACTCCTAGATATTGGCCTACTGTGAGATCCAGTAGTATTCAATTTTCCTTTTTTCCCTCCTGGACTGTTTGGAAGAACTTGAAGAAGATTCAATCTGTCTTTCATTCCATTTTGCTTCTTCTGCCCTCTCCTAGAGTTTAGTTTGATTTTTCAATTTGTTGCTCATTTTCCTTCTTAATTCAATATCTGTTTACAGCAGTAACATGAAAATTTTTCTCATAGAGGAGACATCTTGCTTTGACTACCATATCTTTTCTTCTGCTCTAATTTGGAAAGCGTCAGAGGGTGAAACAAAAGTTTATTTGTGCTCTGTAGATTTCCAAGGCAACGAACATTAAAAGTCATTTGATCTCAGTCAATGCCCATTTATCATTTCTAATAATTAACAATAGAGAACAATCCATGGAAACAAGAGGTAAATAGGCAGCAGTATTCCAAAGTAATATTGTTACTTAAGCACTTAATACTTGTATAAATGTAGGGAACGGATTTGTGATAGTTGTACCTGAAGTTTGACTAGAAAACGGATCTGTGTTTGCAGTGGTCAATGTCTACACCATCTTTCATTTTTGAATCATTGGACCTTTTTTTTAAGGGTATTTCAACTACGAGGTTATACAAACCCTCGGGGTGCCAGTGTTCTTGAAAAAAGCCCACATATATGTCAGGTTCAAATGCAGGGCAGAATTTTGTTAATTATAAGATTTTAACCTTGTTTTCTGGTTATCAGTATTCCTTCTTCTTTCTGGTGTTAACTTAGCTTTATTTTGAACCATCAAATAAATTCAGCACATAATATTGATGCAGGTCTACATGCTTAGAGTACTCAAGCCATTTTTAAAAAATAAATACATGCTGAACTATAAAATATACTCTCGGTCAGCTTCTAACCAATTTGAATTATTTAGTCAACAGTTCATCACTAATCATTGAATATTATAACGATTACATTCAAAATGCAGCCAACAGGACTGAAAACTTCCTTATTGAAGAAAATGTGAGGCTTGGCTCTGGTAACAAACCCAGCATCAAATAATATTGATTTTATTTGTTATTGGTAGCAAACCAATAACAAATAAATTAATAGGAAAATAGACAAAACAATAATGGATATAAAAATTATATTATTTATCCAATAATAACTTTTTTTTAAGGGTATTTCAACTACGAAGTTATACAAACCCTCGGGGTGCCAGTGTTCTTGAAAAAAGCCCACATATATGTCAGGTTCAAATGCAGGGCAGCATTTTGTTAATTATAAGAGCACTAACATAAAACACAATTAAGAAAAGGTAATTAATTATCAGTAACTAAAATTTAAATGAAATTTTTGACATTTATATGACTGAATAAGATTTAAGTGTTGTTTCTTCTTTTAATGCCTTTAGGTAAGTCATTGTTGTAACACTTAAAAATCAAAATTATAAACAGAATCTGTTGTTAAAAAGTCAATATCTTGTTATAATGAATTTTATTGGTAGAATCGAGGTCATTGTAAGTTCTTTCATTGTCACCATCAGTCTGGTCGACATTCATCCTTTTTGACTTCATTCTTCTGTTTTGAAACCAGACTTTAATCTAAAAAGATAAAAAAGATGTAAATAACAAAATCTAATTACAGGAAAGAGCAGAAAAACTTATATGTGTATTTATTATTAATGTTATGGCTAATAGTTAACTTATTAGTACATTTAGTGCTTACCAAAAACAATGGACCTTCAGGTTTGCAAGAAGTTATGAATGCCTACCCTCGTAGAGATAGTTTTGACTTTGAAAAAAAAGGAAAGAAAGAAGGGAAAAAGTTGTAACTTGGTGAGATCTAAATAAAATCTGCAACATTCATTGGCATTTCATCAATTTGTGTACTGTAGTACTGCTCAATATGTCTGAGGATCCTTATATCATCACTCTTGACAAATATGGTCGCGATGAAAATTGTCTTTCGGTTAACATTTGAAGTGAGATTGTAGTCTAAACGAACGGATAAGGCGTGAACGAATATCTGGCGGATCTCTCCTTTTAGTCGGCTATATATTTGTCATCATGATATATTTTTGCTTTGAAAATCTTCCTTGAACAAGCACACATTTAATTCAAATAGATTTATACTAAAATAAGGGTAATAATTTTCCTATTCTAGGATTTAAATTTAATGTAGTATTTAAATAGTTAAACTAGAGAAAAGAAGAAAAAAAATCTTTACTAAGGGACAGATAATTGAAGTATATCACTGTTTAGTACACTAACAATAAATCTTAAACAGTACAGCTAGAAATCCTCAGTTAATACTGGTATTAGATCGATAACCGTAAAATAATTAAATTATTCGGCTATTATTAAATTAGTAACGATTTTGCCAATTTAGTTGTTTATAAAAGTTTTTGGCAGTAGACACTGCTCAACCTGGCCGACTTTATTTCGCCGTTCTCAGGTTTTTTTTTTTTACTGTAACATACACTGAAGAAAACCGCACGACTTCTCCTCATTGTTGGTTTAGCCTATTCACCAAACATACCCGCCTTCTTGTTTACCTCAGTAGCAATTCGTTACTGGGGAATATTTCCGTATTTACTGAAATGTCAACGCGTGATTTTCGCGTAATTTCGTTTTACGAATTTAAACTCAGTAGGAACGGCGTTCAAACGGCCAGAAACATTAATTAAGACTGGGGCGATGGCAGTGCAAGTGAGAGCACTTTTGTTCAGAGATGGTTTAAACAATTTCAAGATGGATACTTTAGCCTTGAAAGAACGCTAGGAAGAATTTCTTATATTCTAGACGATGATGTTCTGATAGATTTAGTCGAAGAAAATCCCAGAGCAATTATTCAAAATCCTACAGAGAATTTCTCAGTTGGTAAATCGACCGTCGCTGACTACCTGGAAAGGTGAAAAAGCTCGAAAGTTACTCACACATCAAACGACCACCAAAAAAATCATCGTTTTGAAGTTCATTGCCTAAACAGAAACGAACCTTTTCTAAATATAATTGTTACTTGTGATAAAAGTGGATTCTCTACGATAAAAGCAGACGTTCTGGACCTGGACAATGGCTCTACATAGGAGAAGTAGCACCACATTTTTCCAAAGCCCCCACCTTATCAAAAAACAGTTTCTTGAATCCTGGCGAAACAATCAACGCTCTCAAATTGAAGTAATGCACCAGAAGTTGGCACTATTGAAAACATTTTTGTTCAATCGGAAAAAGCTGATTCTGTTCCTCGACAAAACACGGCCCCATCTCATTTGTGACAATAGGAAAACTGTTGGAACTTAATTATAAGGATCTGCCTCATCCTCCCTATTCCCCAGACCTCTCGCCTACCTTTTTTTCAGAAACCGTTTAACAACATAAAAAATGCATTGATCAAAAGTCGTTAGAAAGTAAGTTTACAGAATTTGTTAATAACAAAGGCTCAAAATTCTATGCATAGGGTAAAGAGAAGTTGCCATCACGATGAGAGAAGTGTATTGGGAGTTATGGAAGGTATTTTAATTGCTAAAAATTGTTTAAATCATTTATTTAATTGTTTTTATTTTATAATCATAAACCTGAATTATTTTCCGGACAACCCAATAATTAAATAATGAGACCACCTATCCATGGCCGCTTAAAATACAAATTAATTAAAAATTAATAGCTAACTCTATCGGAAGTTCTATGGGCTTAGCTTGTAAGCAATCCTGTCTAAATGTACGGGGGGCTGTTTTGTTTGACTGTTTCCATCAGCGAAATTAAGTACGACAATTTAACTTTTTCTAAAAGATTTAAATTGAAATTCATCGTTCATTAGACTTTAATTATTTGAAATAAAACAAAACAACATGGTCAGAAAGGTTGTCTTAGAGATACTTTTCTAATTATCGTCTCTCGGAGTCACATAAGAAAAAAATCGCATTTTTACAACCAAAAGAAATAAGGAAAAGCGTCGGACTAAGCTGTTTAGTCTAGGGAGTTCCATCTAATCCGAATGAATGAAAAATATTTCGATTAAGCCCATTCATTTAAGCCACTTGGAGGGACAGATTATTGTTATCGTTTTCTAAACCTTCAATAAACCGCTCAGATTGTAAATATAATCAGACAAAAAGGAACTTTTTATCTGCCATACAAAAGTTACTTTCAAGCTGGTGTACTACTTTTCTCAATAAGAATTTTATTCAAATTGAAACTGGCTGAAATTATAGTTTTTAAAAGTTACCCATAATTAATGAGAAAAGAATTTGTACTATTTTTTTTTGTTCTGGTGATTAAAAGTTAAAGTTTGATTTGTCAATAGTTTGAACGACTCTTACCATTTGATCCGTCAGGTTTACTTTGCAATTTAGGATTAAGAACCAGTCAACATTTAAAAAAATCTAATTCTATTTTTAAAGATATAACTAAACAAATTTAAGGCCGTAATAAAAAGTAATAAAGAACAATATTTTACTGTTAGATCCATACAATTATGTCAAGGCGTACACCTTTTGATCTAACCGGACTTTTTATAATATTCCAACATTGGACAGCTCATGTCTTTTCTAAATTACGTTATTTAATAATAATTAAGGCTTTACTGTAATAAATATGTTTAGGGAGAAAAAAAAAAAAAAAAAGGAATAAAGAAAAGAAGAAATCTTATCCCCCGACGGTTGCTCACATGTGTCGGCATGCCGACTAGTCTCGAGTCAAAGCTGACGTCAATCTGCCTATAAAAAGTGTGGGAGTTGAATTCTTAGTTTCAGTCCAAGATGGACAATTGGAGCTGGAGCCAGGAATGGCCACTTTGGAGGAACCACGATCCTATAGTCTATCAACCGCCAAACAATCTTAACGAATAATTCCAATCGAGTGAAAAAAAGAATATTCGCGTCATATTGTGTTTAAGGTTGATGTAAAATATGGGACAATCGCTTATGAAGTGTCAATATTTCTAATATTAACTGCAATATTAACTGCATTGTTAAGCACATATTTGTAGATTTACATACGGATTTTTATTTCAATCAGTTCTTCTCTCTCTCTCTCTCTCTCTCGTATGTACGATATGCGAAAAAGATGCTGAGTAAAAGAGAAAACACTCATTTTGTATGTAACAACTGCTTTAGGGAGCGAAATAAAATTTTGCATCCGAAGGAAGCCTATCCCATAAAATCATGTTTAAATTTCATTCTAATCTTCTTTGTCAATGAAATGATGATATTTTATTCAAGATCTAACGCCTAAATCTAGCGAAACGAACTTATGGTTAAGATGCGATGTCAAAATTAGCATGATTCAGAGGTGCCAATAAATTACTACCGTGCTTAGCTGAAAAGAGATATGATAATATTATACCTAATCAAGCTGTCAGGTTGCAATCATGATCAAAATTTTAAATTTTATAATTTTGACATGTTCCAACTGATATTGGCTAACATTTTATGTCATTCAGATTATTGCAAATAGAAGTATCTTACAGAAAATTTAGCGTTCTTTCAAATGGTGTAATTGGATTTGTTGTAGTTTCAACATTTTGGAAGTTGTAAGAGTTTTTATGTGGTAAGGTAGTGAAAAGTTGAAAAAACATAAATTGACTAATATCTTCAAAATAGAGAACTTTCCGAAAATTTTCTCCTGAGCATTTTGTGCTCCAAACAAACAGTAGAATCGACTCGCAGAGTTTCGTCAGAAGGAACTGGGACACCCAGTATATCTATCACCCGTTCCATGCACTCCAAGCGCCAACAGCAAGGATTGAAACTGAAAAACAATAAAAAAGAAAAAAAAGACTGTCTGACATTTTTATTTTCTACCTGGTTAAGTACTTAATTTGGGGCATCTGTGGCCGAGCCTGTAGTTTGATCATTTTGGTCTGTCAAATGCTTCTCTACATCTTCGGTGTGAAATTTCAGCAATCATCCTATACTCTAAAGTACTACTGTTCTGCTATACTAAATTTTGGTCATTCGCCACACACAGACAGGCGCAACACTGAAAATGGCAAAAAGCTGAAAGGCAAAATGTTTGGATTACGATCTTTGCGTGGATCCCCTTCACACGAAGCAACTCGTTTCACTCACGAATGTAAAATGAAAATGAAAAAAAATACCTGCCACAAACGCAAACAAATCAATCGCAAGAAGACAAAAATCGGGACCTGACTCAAATAAATTACAATAATAACCTTCTAAAAAATAAATACATTCAGATTAAAAAATAAAAATAAATGATCTGAGACATACATAACTCCTTGCCATTTACAATAAAAAAAAAAGAGCAGGTGCCTTCAAACAACGTGAGAGTCCTTCCTCGTCCTTTGGTGTCTCAGCTCGCACTGCCGAGCCTGCGGTTGGGGATTAGCTTATCCTTTGAGATAATCCTCATTGTTGAAAATATTGTTATAATTGGAAAGGACCAAACTTCTACAATGATTTATTGAATGCGGGAATCTGAATTTCTAAAATTGAACAAATTTAGTTAATCTGTATTTGTATTTAAATTGTATAATCTGTATTGTATTTAAAACAATTAAATTTGATATTTACAAACTGGATTTAGAAAATAAATTCTGCTTAAATTTAAAAATTAGCTTCACTAATTTCGTGGTCCGCTTGACCAATTAATATATTACAATTAATTAAGGTTTTTAGTTGAGATAAAAAAAGTCAATGGCACGAGAGATGGGAAGTTAATGTCCGAGTGGATCGAAGTCACGATAGCTCAAGTGGTAAAGCAGCGGCGTATCTAGCCGAAGATCGTGGGTTCGAATCCCGCTCGTGCCATTGACTTTTTTATCTCAACTAAAAACCTTAATTAATTGTAATCAAAACTAGCTTTTAATCCACTCCAGAAAAATATATAATTCTTTTACAGAAGATATAAAAAGAACATCGCACTGACTCTCGTTTCTCTCTCTCTCTCTCTCTCTCTCTCTCTCTCTCTCTTTCGAGGGACGTTGGTTGCCGCAATGTATTAGGTGTTGACATTATGCTCATCACTGTATGGTAAAGGTCCCGGGTTTGAATCCAGCGACCCTGCATACAAATGGGCTTTACATCCTACTAACCCTAATTTCAATTTATCAATCATTTTGTGATTTTGAACTAAGGGCACAATTTCCAGCACATCGGGTCAACTGAGAGTTGTCCAGGTAATAGTTGGGCGCCGCCAGTTGAATGGAAAATTTTGCAATGGTCACATCAAAAAGAAAGAGACTACGTTTGATAAACTTCAGTCAGGTTTATATCCTACCCAACCATCATTCTTTTTATTTTAGTTGTCTCGCCTACAAATTGTGTGTCTGGTGGTAAGTCCTTTATTATTCTGGTGCCGAGCTTATTTTTTTTTTCAGTGCTTATTTGAAAAATTTATTTTTCAGACAAAAACAAAACCGTAGCTGTAAAAGGTAGTACAAGCAAACAAAAATAAAACTCATTATTAATCACTATATTTCTTATTGAAAAACATTTACATCCATGATGCTATACTAATATACACTACATTAAAAATATTTTGTAAATATCTGTCGATAGCGATTTTACAAATTTATTTTATTTACCTTTTCTTGGAAACTGTAGTTCCTTACAAACGCACATAATTTAAATTAGGTACAAATTACAACGAGCATACTCAAATTTACGTATAATTATATACATAATATCCATGTTAAATATAAACTAAACAGCACATCACTCTATCGTATATGTACAATAAAATTGACAAATATTTACATTAACATGTGATGTATTTACATAATAAAAGGCTAGGCACATTGCTGATTTAGCATAATACTAATGCACACTCTACCTATTTGCTTGTAGAATACATAGTCGAATAACTTGTTTTGTAAAATTTAAATTATTATTTTATAAATTAACCAATCTATAATCGATCTTTGTCATTTTTATTTAAAACCATTAATGAACCAGGTAAAGAAAAAAAAACACCTGGGGTTGAAAGTAAGTAATGGTGTAGTCGGTATAAATAAATAAGAAAGTAGGGTGTGCTTCAACCATGGTATTTACTCTCAACTTCAATTTTTTCACTTGAGAATTACTAAAACATTGCCAGAATATTTTTTCTTTTTGTATAAATTGTTTCCCCCTTTTATATTTATATTTTCACGGGAAACAATAAATGTGTCAAAATAACATACCAACACAATTTAAAAAACAAAACAAAAAAACAGCAATTAAATTGACAGTGAAAAATTACAAAAGAACAATTAAAATTAAATAAATCTTTATTCAAATAAAAATAAACAATTATTATTTAGGTGAAATTTTTTTTTATCTCTTTGGGAACAATTTTTTTGCCAATTCAAATACGACTGTATCAAACATGGATTAATTCTTATGTGGTCCCCTTTACATTTAAATTTCATTTTCAAATATACAAATCAGATCTTTACCAATCGGGTCCCAAATCTATCATTTTTATCTTCTAAAATTCTAATATTAAAATATAGATTGTATACAAGCTTACAAGTATGATTAAACAAGCAACCTTGGCACATAAATAGTAAGCCTTATTATAATTATAATTGATAATGTTTTGGATCCAATATGAAAATACTAGGCAAGAAAAAAAATTGTAACAATTGATACTTTTCCCAAAGAAATAATACCAAAATAAATAAATCAATTGACATTATTAAACCCTTATCACACTTTTAGATTGTAATAAATTCATTTTTTTAAATAATAAGTTAATAACGCTATAATTTCTTTTAGTTTCTGCTATTAATATTCATAAGAATAATAGTTTTTCATTCAAATCTCTGTTCACTATAATTAAATTTTTTTTTTTTTAAATACAATAACTTTTCTTTTTCTGCCAACTGTTATAATTCTTTTACAATATCAACTTGAACAACAAGTCATAAGTAAAATAAGTTAAATGAGTGCTAAAACGCATTCAGTAATATCACAATGCCTAGGCATTTTCCAGTCTGCGTAAAACATACAATTTTATGTTGTTGTTTTAAACTCAGTCTAATAATGACTTAGTGAACATAACCCCATGGAGGCGTACTCAATTTACTTGTATTAAATTTCACTAGATTCTCTTCATTGTCAAAGACTCGATTTAATCTACTGGATATGTCTGAAAAAAAAATCAATTAAAAGTAATAATAAAGCTATTAATAATACTATTTAAGAGAGGGGGGATGGGAAGTTAGTGCCCGGGGGGATTGAAGTCACGATAGCTCAAGTGGTAAAGTGGCGGCGTATCAAGCCGAAGGTCGTGGGTTCGAATCCCGCTCGTGACACTGACTTTTTTATCTCAGCTTAAAACCGTAATTAATTGAATGTTATTAATTGGTCAAGCCAACCACGAAAAATAATGAATACTATTTAAATTGTACTATTAAGAATATTTTTTTTGTCTTAGAAGAACCTTATTTAATATAAAGATAAATGTCTAACGATTGAATATGATAAAAGAAATTATTAAAATTTTAAAAGAATTATTTATGTTAAAGCGTCCCAACATATGTTACGAGGTTGAAAAACATTCTATTAATAGAGATCATCAATGGTAATTGATAATATCACGGTTCTTTAAAGGTCTTGGGCCGTGGCCAGACTGGTGAATGGCTCTCCCACCAACGGACATTATGATCTTGGCAGGATCGCAATTCAAAGGATTTTAAACCATGAGATCGATCAAAAAGATAAAATTAGCACAGTTTAACGAAGAATTTTCGCATGAAATATCGCTTCGAATTATCAGGTCGTAAAATAAGCATTTAAGAGGTTTTTTTTGTGTGTAAATTCAATTAAAATTACCGACAATTGTAGACAAAATCAACACGAACAATTTTGTTCTACTACTTGTTGCCATTTTTGTCTAATTTTGTATTGGGTTGTCCGGAAAATAATGCAGGTTTTCATGTTTTCTTTAAATTACCCCTTTATATAATAAACTGTTTACGTCTGATGGATTATTCTTTTGTACAAATGCCAATACTTTTTAATCCTCTTGTGTGGATAATGCTATTTGTTTTTATTAATTATTCGGAAATGGTGAGATGCGGTCTGGTGTGATGTACGTTTCAGAAAAACATTTTCTTTATCGTGCCACGTTTCAATCTTTATTGAGATCATCTTCAGGGCCTGGGATTTACAAACATTGTTTAAATTTAACAAATACACAGGAAGTGGAAAAAAGTGAATTTAAACAATACAAAAAAAAAAATTTATATTCAATCAAAGTATTTGTACTCATTTTATTTTTACAATTTTTTTTGCATTGTATAAATTCACTTTTTCTTTCCTACTGTATTTGTTAAATGTAAACAATGTTTGTAAATCCCAGGCCCTGAAGATGATCTCAATAAAGATCGAAATGTTGGCTCGATAAAGAAAACGTTTTCTGAAACCTACATCACACCAGACCGCATCTCATGATTTCTGAATAATTATCGATTAACGGTCACTAATCACCACACGTTTTTATTGATATGTAAACTATATTTTTTGTGTCAATTTTATGGTTTGAGTAAATATAAAAATTACAGTACCTAATAGATGTATTTGTAAAATTAATCCTTTCACTTCAGTAACGTCTGACTGTTCCTTAAAATAAGTAACACCTACAAAGAAAAGTCCTGTTAAAAAGAAATATTTTTTTTTTTTTAGAAAAGCTATAAAACCTGCAAATATCTATGTCAAATAAAGTAGGTAGACAGCCGTATGGCAATACGCCAACTGGCGAAAGGGTCAAAAGAGGGAATAAGAAGAGTCCGGGACATGTCAAAACAGCCGAGTCGCTGTCTCTGTGATCATTGAGTGTTGGTTATCTGAATTTGGTCATCATCGGGTGAAGTATGACCAAAGTGCTTTTTTTTTTCAATGGATACCAGGAACTGTTACAGTTCAACAGTTCCCTCCTGAGCACTGCAGCTGTACAGCTTATTGTACTTTATCCCTGGCTCCATATTTTTGGGGGCTCGCAACACAAGTATGAATTTGAGCCCCCGGTGTGCCGGTGTTCTTCCATTGAAGAAACTCATTTTTGAAGGGGGTTGGGCCCAAATTCAGGATCGCTGAGATCTGATCCCGCTCCTTCCATTGATGAGTGCCGTGTCAATTTCTTTCAATTCAGGCCACAGGTCCCCTTAGGCATCAGAAAAAGTCCAGACAGTGGGGATCGAACCCACGACAGTGGGATCTACTAGCCGAGAGTCTGACGCTTTAACCACTCGGCTACCGCGGCCCCCACCAAAGTGCTTTGTTTCTTCCAAATAAAATTTTCTGCTTGTGAACCTAGCAAATCTCATAAAGGCAGCTCACGAGTGGGATTCGAACCCACGATCTTTGGCTAGATACGCCGCTGCTCTACCACTTGAGCTATCGTGACCTCGATCCACTCGGACACCAACTTCCCATCTCAACCCCACCCTCCCATCTCAACCCCACCTTTTGAATTTTCCCTCCTTTTTGCCATTTTTCAAATGTTGTGTAATCTATTTCATTCCCAGCGACAAATGAAATTGCCATGGAGAGCTTTAATGAAGGTATACTTCATTTTAACTTATTAAATTCACTAATTTCATGGTCCGCCTTGACCAATTAATATCTTTCAATTAATTAAGTTTTTTAGTTGAGATAAAAAAGTCAGTGTCACAAGCTGGATTCGAACCCATGACCTTCAGCTAGATACGCTGCTACTCTACCACTTGAGCTATCGTGACTTCGATCTACTCGGGCACTAAATTCCTTTTGAATTTTCCCTCCTTTCTTTTTGCCATTTTGGAATTAATATTTATATTGGTAATAAAAAAAAGCAAATTGATATTTACTTTATAACTGCTATCGAGACTGAGATGATTCTTCTTTTGGCTGATGAGCAGGAGGTAGTCTGTGAGGAGGGCTGGTGGCTTTTGGCCGGAGGTGTGCCACACTTGGAGGAGCTCCTGGGTATGTTCCGAAAAGTTTCGCTCGCTGTTCCTCTTCTTCACGGAGCGCCGCAACCAACGGATTATACCTCAAGGTGTCGTACCTAAAACGGTAAGTCAATAAAATTGGTTAAAACTTACAGTTTCAAATTAAGCACCTGTAAGGATCCCAAGGCGATGCTAGGAAGTGCGGGGGTAAAGGCCTGGGCGGCTGGCGTGTGAGGAAATGCTGCTGTCTCGAAAGCATCGCCACCTCGTCGTCTTTACTCGATGCAGGTACTACTTGAGGTTCCGCCCTTAAAGGTGACCTGTCCCTCACTTTGCTCACGCTGACGAGCCTCCTTTGCTTTTCCTCACGCCTCGCTCTTTCTCGACTCCTTTCTCTCTCCTTTTCCCTCTCTCTCTCTTCATGCGGGTCAGGCTTCAAAGTCCAAGGATTCGTCGGAGGGAAACCCTGTGTCGGTACCGGCCTGGGTTGCAGCCTGAAAAAAAAACGTTAGAATCATTGTCTTGAAGTTTCATAAAAATTATAATAAATTGGCTTGGCAGATTAAAAAGTAGAATATTTTTTAATAAATAAAATGAAAAATAGAAAGGAGTTAGTTAATTTTTACCTAGCCCAAGGATCGTGCATTGATGCAGGAGGGGGGAAAGCTGGTAACGAAGGAAACGTAGCCGTTGCAGCTGGGTACCTTCCAAACACACTTGTTCCTGCAAAAGAAAACAAAAATTATCAAAACATTTTATCATTTTAATAATACAAATTAAAATTAATTAAGGTTTTTAGTTGAGATAAAGAAGTCAATGGCACGAGCGGGATTCGAACCCACGATCTTCGGCTAGATACGCCGCTGCTCTACCACTTGAGCTATCGTGACCTCGATCCACTCGGACACCAACTTCCTATCTCAACCCAACCTTTTGAGTTTTTTTTGAGATAGGAAGTTGGCGTATCTAGCCGAAGATCGTGGGTTCGAATCCCGCTCATGCCATTGACTTTTTTATCTCAACTAAAAACCTTAATTAATTGTAATAAATTAATTGGTCAAGCGGACCACGAAATTAGTGAATTATACAAATTAAAGTCGAATACTCACCCATTGGAGGAAAAGTCGGTGGTGTGTGTTCAAACGTCGGCGGAGCTCTATGGGCCGGTGTGAAAGGATGGGGCGGGCCGAACATGTGCGTCGGAGGTCGAAGGAGGTCGCTTTTTCCGATGAGAGTACCAACTTTGCTCTCACCCCCCATACTCAGGCCTCCTTTCTGCTGGTGGTGGTATATTTCCCAGGCCACCCTTACGTGCATCGCATTCCATTTTCCCGTTTTCTGGAAATTAAATTCGAATTGGAACAAAATGTCATTTGATCCAAGGCTTTAAAAACTGCCAATGTGTGGAGAACTCAATAATTTTTTTAAAAATTAGACAACACTTTAAATATAAATATTTTAACTTTAAACTGGAATAAGGATAAAAAAAGAAACATGAAGTACAAGATAAAAAGATTTAAAAAAAATACAAATGAAGCACCAAACACATAAACAAAATGTAACGATAACATAATGAAATATGATGATAAAACAAATGAAATAGAAAGAAATCAAAAGGTAAGAAAAAAAGAGAAAATAAAAGCATAACTAAAATGACAAAACTAAAAACATACCACTGTTTTAGGTTTAGAAGGCTCAGTCAATTGCTGTGGAATAAAATAAAGCATTAGTTCATGAGTGTACCGGATGGTTATAAAAATGAAGGAAATATGAATAAAGCAGGAAAAAATTATATAATCGTTCAATCATTTACTCACTTTTGGTGTAAATGTAGGAATATGAGTAGGAGGTGCGAACGGCGTAGAGGGTCCGAAGGTCGGGTGCATGAGTCCCGGCGAGTATCCCGGGTATCCTGTGAAGCCGATGCTCTGCCTGTAGAATGGCGATTCGACGGCTGCCCCCTTTGGAATATCCTTGAACTGTAATAGAGTTTTCGAATTTATTTACGCGACGGTTTACTAACCGGTGTGAATCCGGTCCCACTTACTATTGGCGAGGTGAACAATGTCGGTGGCGGAGGCGGGATTATTGGAGTGGTATGCTGGTGAACGTGGGTATGCTGATGCTGATGGTGGTGCATCTCGGTCCTGATATAAGGTCCGCGATCCTGGCTTGCTAAAAATCTCGAGTCTAGCTCCCTTCTTAATAAATCACCTTGATCTGGAATAGAACCTAGCATCATTAAAACAATAACATTAGTAACAGATAATATATCTATCTAGTCTCAAAATTCAATTTTGGATAATGTAAAATAATGAATTTTAGTTAATGTAAAGTAATGGGAATTTTCTTTTTTTTGTATAAGCATCAAAATATTCTCTTTTTTGAACAATTCCAACAAAATTTGATATTTTCTTTTTTCACTGTCATTAAAGAAGAAAATTTCCGATTGTTGTTAACTATAAAATATTAATATCTTAGTACTGGCCTTATGTTGCTTGGTAAAATGTATTATAGCTTCTTTACAAACCTCTCGACTCTTGTGCACTTACAAAGAATTTGCAGATATTATTATTTATGATTGATGTTTGATGATAATGATTGATTAAAATGTATGTACAAAAAACTGTTGGAAGTCTATGCCATTCTGTTTTTCAGGTTAGTTCAATATTCAATTAAAATAAAAAAATCTGCACTATCATTAAAACTTAATTTGTAATAAAATGGATATTTAATTTTTTATATAAAGTATGCTAAAATGCTTCAGACATCCAACCACCAGTTAATTGTATAATAATACCGTTTAATCCAATAATGAACATTAATCAAACTAAAAGGATTAGTGGCAAAAAGTGCTTACTTGACTTACTTGACTGGAACAAAGACTCGGCGGAGAAAGGATTGGGAGGCGGTGCAGGGGCGGGCGGAGGTTGTGAGGGCGCGACTTGAGTTGGAGGGAACATAGGAGGAGGAAAAGGATGCGGGAAACCGAGTCTGCTGCTTGCAGCAGGAGATACTTGTGGACCAGTGTTCGAGCTGAAACAGAAATTTTAATTCTCAACAGAATTCAAAATAAGTTAATAAAAATAACTGTCGAACTGATCGTCTTACCTGACCCAAATGGAAGGCTTGTTGTAAGGGAGACTAGATTGTGGCGGATGATGAGGAGCGGTGTAAGGAGGTATGCTACCGGGGGTTCCGACACTTCCTCTGCTCAAGCTGCTGACGTTGCTGCTGTAAAAATGGAAAACAGGTTTAGTCGGTTTTCGGGTGAGAAGAGTTGAAGAATGGCAATACCTGTAACTGTCTCGCTCTCTGGTTGGGCTGTGACCTCGGGGTGAGTGGCTTCTTCCAACCAACGGGGTGTTCACCATGTCGCGATGACTCGACGTCGTTGTTGTCGGCATGACAGGGCCCACAGAGGTTGTGATCGGTTTTAACCCAACAGGAGATCTTCTCGCCAACTAGTTGATATATTCATTGAAACGATATTAGTGGACATGTTTTGTTAATTCAAAATATAAAAAAAATAATATGAGGAAAAAATTAGAAACTAACGTACCTGGTGAGATGGAGGTAAATATGGAGTGTTGTTGTAAGGGGCATACAAAGGTGGCTGATACGGAAGGGGTTGGGATGTGGCGGTTGTTGGATGGCATATAGTCGGCTGTGGCGGTGGAGGTGGATAACCGACATATCCCACTCCTGGCCTAGTTGTGTATGTACTGCTAGGCGGAGGTATAATCCGTGGAGAGCTTACATGGACTGGAGGTGGGCTCACTCGTTCTACTTTAGGGACACCATTTGGCATCTGAAAAAAAAAAAAATGAGTTTATGAATTCAATATCGTACCTAATGACAAAAGGTACGCTTACAGCTGGGAAGTGGTTGGAGGAGGTGACCGGTTGTTGCGGTGGTTGCTGTGGAGGCGGTGGCTGAGGCTGGGGCGGTGGCTGTTGCTGTATAGGCTGCACTGCCTGAACTGGAGGTGGTGGAGGCGGAGGAGTTTCAGGCCTTGGAGATCCATTAGTCTTGATCGTGGGTGTATGACCATTGACAATTTGAACGTCTGCTGGTTTACTTTCATCTGGAACAAAATCATTCAGTTATAAGCTTCAATAAAGCAGCATTTCAATATAATTATTATGACATTTTTGAATATTTAAGAAATAAATTATTTAGGTAGTTTACAAAACAAAATGTAATAAAAATAGCTGAATATTTCAAAATTCAATTTTTTTTCTATTAATTTTAGTCATACTCAACTGTTCGGTAAAATATAGTTGAGTAAATTTCAATATAGAATATAGAAATATTTCAACATGTTCATAGCAACATAAAAATCACACACACACACACACACACACACACACACACACANGGGGGGATAGTTGAAATATTTGAAAAACTTACGGTTTCTCGTAGGCGGGGGAGATGCTGAAAAGAGTACAGATCCTGAATCCGAAGCCTGAAAAACGGAAAAACAAAAATTTGTTACTGTCTGACAACTTAATAACATGAAACATGAGAAAATCATTTAAATAATGTAAAAGACAGCTTTGAACATCAATTCAAAGACGAAATCAATTCAGGGAAATGAAGCGCAAACTGTATATGTATGTGTAATTTACCTCCTAGTTAAGCAATATTTGTTTTCATGTTTGAAAGTCAATTAGCAAATTGTTTACACCGATAAAATATTTATAATTGTAAGAATAACAAACAAAAACATTCGAAAGGATCTCTGAAGTAACTTTACAACAATTGGCGCAGGGAACACAGATGGCAGTTGCATGAAACAATTGTTTTTAGCTCTAGTTATTTAATGGCTACACTATTGGTGGAGGAAATAGTGTTTAGCACAAACAAATAAATGAACAACAAAAAATCAGCCCTGGTAAGCACAATGAGCCAACACTCCTTGCTTGTTCTACTTAAAAAATTGTAGATTCTGAAAAAATCCTCACCAACCGATTTAAAAAAAAGACTCAAAAGACCTGGACAAATTTCCAGGTTGATTTGATAAATATTGAACATCATTGACATTTAAGCCAAGGCTGAATATCTGACTGCAGCTTAACTGCCCAAAAGTTTAAAGTTTTTATTGACCTGCATAAAGCAAGCTTTTAATTAATTTTCCCTTCAGTAAAATTTACAATCTGAGAATTGGCTCAGAGTTTATTATGCTATTAAGAAACCTGTTCTTAAAAGGAAAAATTGTCCTATAAGCGGATGTAGACTACTTGGAGAAAATAATAAATAACCGTAAAATAAATAACTGATGGTTAAGCAAAGAGAAAAACATTTCGATCTCATTTTCAAATTCATCTCATAAAAAAGTTCAATGAAAGAGAAACACGTTTCGAATCTAACTTTTCCATCATGACTTCAAACAAGCGAACTGTTGTTAAAGAAATCAGCCCTGGTAAGCACAATGAGGCAACACTTCTTGCTTGTTCTACTTTAAAAAAAATTTAGGTTCTGAAAAAAATCCTCACCAACTGATTTTTTTAAAACAAAAGGACACTCAAAAGACCTGAACAAATTTCCAGGTAGATTTGATAAACATTGAACATCTTCATTGACATTTAGGCCAAGGCTGAATATCTGACTGCAGCTTAAAAAACTGCCCAAGAGTAAAGTTTAAAGTTTTTATTGACCTGCATAAAGCAAGCCTTTAATTCATTTTCCCTTCCGTAAAATTTACAATCTGAGAATTGGCTCAAAATGTATTATGCTATTAAGAATCTTATTCTAAAAGGAAAAATTGTCTCATAAAAAAGTTCAATGAAAGAGAAACATGTTTCGAATCTAACTTTTCCATCATGACTTCAAACGAACTGTTGTTAAAGAAATCAGCCCTGGTAAGCACAATGAGGCAACACTTCTTGCTTGTTCTACTTTAAAAAAAATTTAGGTTCTGAAAAAATCCTCACCAACTGATTTTTTACAAAAAAAGGACACACAAAAGACCTGAACGAATTTCCAGGTAGATTTGATAAACATTGACATTTAAGCCAAGGCTGAATATCTGACTGCAGTTTAAACTGCCCAAGAGTAAAGTTTAAAGTTTTTATTGACCTGCATAAAGCAAGCTTTTAATTCATTTTCCCTTCCGTAAAATTTACAATCTCAGAATTGGCTCAGAATTTATTATGCTCCAGAGTGCCATTTAGGAACAATTTGTTTGTGTTAACAGGTGTTTGTTTTTTGATTAAGTTATTCAATTTTCAGATGTTTGTTTTTAATTTGGTCAAAGTGGATATTGTATGCATCTTTTTGATGTATGTAAATTTTTTTAAAATGTCTGTAGGTATTTTGTTGGCGGCACTGAGTTTTAATTGGTGTAAGTTTTGTGTGCACTCTCAACACAACACGCAAGAATGGCACAATTACGCAGATGACAAACACTTTGAGCCCTGAAGATGACCTCAATAAAGATCGAAACGTAGCACGATAAAGAAAATGTTTTTCTGAAGCCTACATCACACCAGACCGCTTCTCATGATTTCTGAATAATTATCCATAATATAGATTGTAAAAAAAAAAAAAAAAAAATCGTTTTCCCATAACAGAAGATGGGTAAATAATTGGCTTTTCTAGCACGGGCGTGGAACAACAGCAGCCACTTGTTTACAATTGTTTATTTCGATCCGAGGGACTATTTATAAACAAACAAAGAGTGTCGTTGAAAGGCGATAGCGTTGTATGGCCCCGATGAAAAACGGGACGCTCCCTTTTTGTTTTCGAGAGGCTAACCAATCAAATTAGGGAGTGTATACTCGTACCGCAGGGGAACAATGAAGGCAGATGATATGGGATTATATTGAATCTTTTATCCGAATCCGTTTTTGTCCCCCTAGCCAGTTAAATCCTGTCCGTCGGATTTTTTCGGCCATTTTCACAGACAAAGGGAATATATTGGTTAAAAAAGTTTTTTTTTTGATTTGTGAAAAATTTGTACCTGCATATAGAGATGAAGCATACAAATGATACATTATTATAGACCGACAGGCAAAAAATTTACCATGAAGGAAATGTTTTTCTACTAAAACTAGAGAAAAAGGAGTGATTTCTAAGGAAACCGTGAAAACACGAGAATCCCAACTCAGCCTGGAGCAACTGAAATAGAGTATATTTGCATTTTCCTAATTTTGCTCAAAATTTTCCCAGTGGAAAAATCATATATCAAAAAATAATTATAACATATCCAAACGATTTATCATATAGCAAAGATTAATTTGCGATCACCCCATCCCATTAATAATTCACCTTGTAGCAATTTTAATAATTTTAAATTCACTAATTTCGTGGTCCGCTTGACCAATTAATATATTACAATTAATTAAGGTTTTTAGTTGAGATAAAAAAGTCAATGGCACGAGCGGGATTCGAACCCACGATCTTCGGCGTGATACGCCGCTGCTCTACCACTTGAGCTATCGTGACCTCGATCCACTCGGACACTAACTTCCCATCTCAACCCCACCTTTTGAATTTTCCCTCCTTTTTGCCATTTTTCATTGCCTGCCTCATTTCACTGCCTCATCATGAAAAATGGCAAAAAGGAGGGAAAATTCAAAAGGTGGGGTTGAGATGGGAAGTTAGTGTCCGAGTGGATCGAGGCTCAAGTGGGAATTCGTGATACACTGAGTGGCCTTTTTTTCAAGAGGGACGTTTGCCCAGTGTCAATCGGGTATGGCCTATCCTGAAAAGTGTCAGCACGATCCTTGCGTTTCAAACATTCTACGCCAGAGGTTATTGTTTTCTAAATGAAGCAAAAGTTTAAAATACTAAGATGCCATCCATCAAAATGGCCACTTTTAACAGTTAAAATTTCTTCATTGACTAATTTAACCTGATTTCAAAATAGAAAACGTGATACGATTGTCTTTTTACTATTCGATCTGCTACTGGCATGCCGACGAATTGTCTATGTCGGGTACCATGCCTACTCGCTCCCTGTAAAGAGTCAAGGCCGTAGAGGGCGAGGACCCAGCTATGTTATTTATTTAAAATAGAAATAAATAAAATTAGATAATTTTGAACAATTCGATGGATGTAAAAATAAAAGAAATCTTTTAAAACTTTCATAATCGTATTCGCTGAAAGATTGGATTTTTTTAAAGTTTTATTTTTAAAAGGAACAATGTCGGTGAACTAGTTCTCTTTATTCAAACAGAAGTTGTGGTAAACACTGGGTTTAACGGTTCATTAAAAAGTTTCTGAATTAATTTAAAACTTTAGAAGTCACCGCAATAAAAAAATAAGAAAAAACTAATCCCGCCATGCTCAGGGAAATAAAACTGACGAGAAAAAAGACGTAACGTTTAAGCTTTCCTTGGTTTCTAAACGTAATTAAAGAACAGAATAAGCCTAATAAGCGGGAATAAAAGCAAGGTGCTAAAGTTTTTTGAAAATAGTACAAAAGAAGATTTTTTTTCAAAACAATCCGTGTGGAGTCTTGTTTATTATTTATTTTATTGAAATTAATTTGAAATTTAAGTTTATTATTCTGATCCGACTTAACTCGATCCGTTTTGGTCTTCAGTTGTACCTTGATTTCAGTAATTGGTAAATATTCCGGCATGTAAAAACCGGGCATAGATTTCTGGGGTTAATTTTCAGGCCGAGGCAAGAAAACCTCTCTCTCAAGAGCACTGTCGATAGATGGCACTTGGAGGACCTTACTCGTAGAAGAAGGGTCATCCACTCCCGATTAAGAATAAGCCTTGCGAGGTTGACATATGGACTCTTACTCTAGGACCAAAGCCCGCGTATGTGACCCACTTAATTCAAAGTTGCCATTCCTTGGCTCCATATAGGGAGCGCGTAGGAATGCCGCCCGATTTGAGAAATGTGCTCTGGGGTCAGATCATCATCTGAATATATCATCCGGAGATGATTACAATGAAAGAAGATTTTTTAATTTTTTCTGAACTCTCAGGCACAACAACCTCCAAAAAATATCTCTGCGGATTTCGACGAAGAGGATTACAAATCTGATGTTTCTACAGCAACCAGCCCGCTACCAAAACACAAAAAATACATCGCTCTCGATCTGTATCTCCAATTTTTATTCAAAAAGGCAACATAAATGCAGCTGAATTCACCCACGTTGCTTCTTCTCAAGTTGCGATTTTAGATTGGGCCCAATTGGAACTCGGATTTTGGAACATTAAGTGGTTTTCTTCTCTTTTCAGTTTATCCAAAAAATAAATTCAGTTTTGACAAGAGGTTGATATTTTATATATTTTTTTTAAATAACTTTGTTCCCTAATTATTTAAAAGATTATGAATTTTATTTTTCAAAAGCTTGTGAATTGTTCGTAAAGGGTCGAGTCTCAGGAGACAATCATTTTTCTTAGAAAAAGTAAATTTTCAAATATCAAACTTGAGAAAAGAGTACATTTTATCTTTCAATTAATTAAGATTTTTAGTTGAGATAAAAAAGTCAGTGTCACGAGC